AAAATGAACAAACCCATGTTGCTTGTTAAATTCTATAATTTTATCAAGTATCGGGATTCCAAAAGCAAGTGTTTTTCCTGTTCCTGTTCGAGCTCGGCCAAACATGTCCTTCCCTTGCATTGCCGGTTCAAGCACAGCTTTCTGCAATAAAAAACAAAAACAATAATCAAACATTAATCAAAGGGAACCAAGTTATTTAGCTAAAAATCTTCTTCTTTTTTCAATTTTTTTAGATTGAATTGATAAAAATACGCCAAAAAATATTTACAATACCACAAAAGGAACCAAACTTTCATGTTTAAGTGTTCGCAAAAAGTCATTTTCTAAAAAATAAAATTGAGAAATAACCAATCTTTAAAAAAAACAACAAGATTAATCAAACTTTCATTTAATTACAAGGTAAAACTTCAAATTTAATTCAAACATTCGTGCATAAAAATCCCCAAGATTTATTTATTTATTTACTTTTGAAGGGGAAATGATAAAATTACCTGAATGGGAAACAGTTTAGTTATCCCTTTTTTAGCTAAAGAGTTAACAATCTCTTTAGAAATCCCTAAATTTGAAATTTCAAGCCCTTCTTCGCTCCCTTTCACTTTCTCCTCATCAGAGCCATAATCAGCTACAGCGATCCCAGCTTGAGTCACCGAACTCGCCTTAAAATCCAAAGGCCCAGATTTTACATGAAAGTCTCTAGATATGGTTGGAGAAGTAAGAAATGAAGAAAAAGGTCTAATCTCACCGGGGAGAGACCCATTTCTGGAAGGAACTGGTGACGTGGCAGGCGTTAATTGGAGGTGGTGTAGGAGGGTGATAGCGGCTATAGCCCGATTTGGGGTTAATGCATAAGAAGAGGATGATCTTCTTAGGATAGTTGACAACATTTTAGGGTTTGAGAGAGAAACCCCAAATTTGATTTGGGGGTTTTTTAGGGTTTAAGAAAGATGAAGAGAGGCGGGGACGGGAGAGAGGAGGGTTTGGCAAGGGTTTATGAGGGAGTGAAGAGAAACGTGTGCTATTTATGAGGGCTTGATTCTGTGCTTTTCATAGGTTTTAAGAATCGGTGTGTGATCAATTGGGGTTTTGACACGTACAGCGAGAAGCACAGTGGGGCCCGGATGAATTTGAATGGTGGATATTGGATGTTGAGGTTTAATGGGACTTCTCCGATGTTGTTATTACAGTATTTCTTGTATATGTTAAGTAATTTACCTTTTCTTCTCGCGATGATAAAAAAAAGAGTATTTTAACAAGTTATTTTGTATTTTATATAGAATACAATTCCGTGCTTTGCAGCGAATCCATACCAAAAGAGCTTTTGTCCACATATAATTCCAAGAAATAAAAGAGAGAGATGTTGCCATGAAATTGTGATGGCATTATTGGGACTGTGATGGGCTGGGCTTTCTGAGTTGATGGGTAAGAGTTCAATGGGTTTGGTCCAATGGAATGAACTACTCTAGACCTGATTAGCTAATATCTGAACTGCCACTAATGGACCTCCTTTAACAAGCCCATATAGATTCTGGAGAGGCCCTATACACTGCATAGTCAATGAAACTAAAAGAAGCATGTGCAGGCCCAATAAATATTGCATGCTAGTCACCGATGGAGAGAGTCGAGAGATCTACCCACTGAAGAAAAAATTAATGGGACACGTGGAGTATCTTCTACTTTTGTTTTTTTTTTTTTTTTTTATTGTTCGACACCTCTTGACCATTGTTAGGGAAGAG